CCACCACCGCCTGGCTGCATTTCTTAATTATAAACTACATTCTTAAATGAGCTGCATAAGCACAATACCCCAAAAAAGAGTAGAAACATATATACAGCATAACAAAAATAACTTTAAATTTGTATCAATATGCCAAAATCTATACCAATGCAAAATATTTGATTTTAATAGTTGTCTTTTATCCTATATTCTTATATCTCCACTAAATGATGACAAACACCCATAACCCATCAAATGACCAAAAACCAACCACTCCACTTCTTGGGACTGTGGGCATTGTGTTCTCTGGACTGCTTCCTGTTGTCTGTGGACAAAGGCATCTTTAGTGAACTTGAGAAAATGGAGAGAATGCTCAAGTCCTAAGGAAATTAGCTATAACATTTGTTGTCCAGTCTCTGTGCAATGGGAAAGCGCAAGGCTTATCTGTAGTCCTGGCTAGAATAGTCTGTGAGGCTCAACCATCTCAGCCAGCAGCCTTGAAGCCGTTCTGGATGCAGAACTCTGAGGAAACTGCAACAGAGCTGCTCTGAGAGGCCGGATCACCTGGGCCACCTGTTTTCATCAGTGTCTGGATCCCTTGCTCTAAAAACACACTAACTTTCAAAAGTAACATACACATATGCATTAACACAAGTATGAACTGTCCATTACACACAAGCCAGCCAAAGATGATTTGTCTGTGTGTGTGTGTGTGTGTGTGTGTGTGTGTGTGTGTGTGTGTGCTTTATGTTTAAGCAGGTAAAATATACATCACCTGTCTCATAGTTTTTCTGGGTTTATTTCTTTATATCTGTAGCCCAGATTTTCAGGGGATCTTCCCCAATCAAACCTGATCTCTATTAACTTTAAATAAATCTATACCCTTTCATTTCCTGTGAAAACAAAAGCATAATCTCTTTCCAAAAGCAATACAGTTTTTACTTCCATTTTAAAGTTAAAGCATTCCTAAGGTACATAGGCTGGTTTAATTCAGCAGGCCTTTTTCACAATCCCATGTCTCCCAGTAGCTGTTGTTTGCTTATCAGCAATTAAAAAAAAAAAATTCAAAGAGCCGGGTGGTGGTGGTGGCACATGCCTTTAATTCCAGCATTTGGGAAGCAGAGCCAGGCGGATCTCTGTTTGAGTTTGAGGCTAGCCTGGTCTACAGAGTGAAATCCAGGACCTGCACCAAAGCTATACAGAGAAACCCTGTGTCCAAAAACAAAAACAAAAACAAAAAAAATTCAAAGACAACACAATACCATACAGGATCCAGACTCCCTGTGCATTTCCATCTCTATGTGGCTTATTTATTACTATTATTAATACACCAGAGTTTCTCTGTGTAGTTTTGGTGCCTGTCCTGGATCTCACTCTGTAGACCAGGCTGGCCTCAAACTCACAGAGATCCGCCTGGCTCTGCCTCCTGAGGGCTGGGATTAAAGGCGTGTGCCGTCGCCGCTGCCACTGCCGCCTGCTGCTGCCTATGCACATTTTTACATACACTGTAACCTATTTAGAGGTTTATTTCTGTCTAGATATGTCGTTACTGCATATCTCTAGCCTTTTCTGTCTGCATGAGCAAAATCTTAAACTGCTAAGCTACCATTGGGTCCTCTGATGCAGCTTTGGCAGCTGGCTCCATCCTGCTTGGGTCTGTAAGAGCTGAGCCTTAAGCTTGCAGGCCCAGTCCGGAAGTGTGTGACCTTGAACCGCATTCAACCCCTCCGCTCTAGAAAGTGGGTGTTCCACACCATAGCAGGCGTACTTAACGTACTAACTGTTTGAGTGCTCTGCTATATGACAGAGCTTCCTCTTTCTCCTCCTCCTCCTCCTCCTCCTCCTCCTCCTCCTCCTTCTCCTTCCTCTCCTCCTCCTCCTTTTAGGTTTTTCCAGACAGAGTTTCTCTGTGGAAACAGTCCTGGTTATCCTGGAACTCTCTCTCTGTAGACCAGGTTGACCTGGAACTCACAGAGATCTGCCTGCCTTTGTCTCCCAAGTGCTGGGATTAAAGGGGTGTACCACCACCACCCCGGCTCTTGTGGCAGAGCTTCTTAAAGGAACTTTATCCTCTCTCTCTCTCCCTCTCCCTCTCCCTCTCCGTCTCTCTCTCTCTCTCTCTTTTAGTTTTCTCAGGCCCTATGTGGAAATTCAGGCCTCATGTTGTAATGTCAAAATGTACCAGGCTCTTTCCTTTAGGCCCCCAACCAGCTCCCAAATCATGACACACAGACAGACTTCTTATTAGTTATAAATGCTCAGCCTAGCTTAGGCTCTTTTTCTGGCTACCTCTTTTAACTTAAATTAGCCTGTTTTCTTTACCTACCTTTTGCCTTGGGGCTTTTTACTTTTCTTTCCTTCTGTGTATCTTACTTTCACCGCTTCATGTGTCTGGCTGGCTGGCGGCTGCCTGACTTCTTGCCCCAGGTGTCTCCCTCCTTCTCTCGTCTTTCTTCTCCCTCTTTCTAGATTTCTCCTCCTATTTATTCTCTCTGCCCGTCAGCCCCACCTATCCCTCTCCTGCCTAGCTATTGGCCGTTCAGCTCTTTATTAGACCAATCAGTTGTCTTAGGCAGGCAAGGTGAAACAAATGCAATATATCTTTACATAATTAATCAAATGCAGCATAAATAAAAGTAACACCTCTTTGCCTGCTAAAATAATATTCCACAAGAAACCCTAACTAAGAGAGGGTGTATGTGTGTCTATGTATGTGTGTGTTATGTGCAGACATGTTTCCTTGGGCTCAGAGCTGAAAGGAGGATTCTGGGGTCCACCAGTCTCCCCTTGCTGCTTTGTGTATTACTTCGCTTTTTATTGCTGTAATAAAGGTCATGACCAAAGGCAACTTGAAGAGGAAATGGTTTATTTTGCCTTAAAGTTTATAGTCCATCATAAATGAAAGTCCGGGCAGGAATTCAAGGCAGGAACTGGAAGCAGGAAGTGAAACAGAGGACATGGAGTAGTGCTGCCTACTGGCTTGTTCTCCCTGGCTGCCTGGCTTGTTCTCCCTCGTTCTCGTAGCCTCCTTTCTTGTATCATCTAGGACAACATGAACAGGGGTGGCCCTGCCCACAGTGGTCTGGGCCCTCCCGTATAAATCATTAATCAAGAAATGCCTCACAGGATTGCCTACAGGCCCCAATCTGATGAGGACACCTTCTCAATGGAGGTTCCCCATCCCAGATGACTCTAGTTTGTGTCAAGTTCATAAAAAACTTACCAGGACAAGTTGAGACAGGGTCCCATTGAGCTTTGAGCTAGGATGGAAGCCTGCAAGGCCCAGCTGCAACCCTGGCCTCTGCTCTCCACAGCATGGGGGTTACTTCATGTCTAGCCTTTTTTTTTTTTTAGCCAGGGTTTCACTATATAGTCCTGGCTGTCCTGGGACTTGATCTGTAGACCAGACTGTCCTGGAACTCATAGATCTGCCTCCCTCTGCCTCCTGAGTGCTAGGATTAAAGGCATGTACCATCACTGCCAGGCTCATGTCTGGCCTTAAAAAAAATTTTTTTTTTAAATGTGGATGATGGGGTTTGAACTGAAGTCCTGATGTTTGCACAGTAAGCAATCTTACAGGTGGACCCATCTCCTCAGCCCTCCCCCCAACTTTTCATTACCTTTTCAGGCAGTCTCTTGTAATCCTGGGGGCCTCAGACTAGCTATCTAGCATAGAAAGGCCTTCAGCTCGGCTTCTGTTTTATTGTATGAGTGCTTTGTCTGCATGTATGTGCGTGCCTTAGGTGTGTGAGCCTGCTGTTGCAGAGGTCAGAAGAGGAGGTCGGGTACCCGGAACTGCAGTCATGGATAGTTCTGAGCTAGGAACTGAACCCTGGTGTTTCTGCTGCTCTTAACCACTGAGCCGGTTTTCTAGTTGTTTATTTTTAACCCTTAGTTCATCATGTACGCATTGCCTTTATTTAATAATGAACAGTTAAAACTAAAATTATACTTTTAAGAACACTTATTACATTTATTTATTTATTATTTATTTATTCATCTGGCGGCTAGAGGTCAGAGAACAGCTTGCGGGAGTCGGTCCCTCCCGACCCACCTTTCCACCTAGTGGCTTCTGGGGATGGAACTCAGGTCGGCAGGCTTGGTGGCAAATGCCATTCTTTATACACGCGGAACCATCCGCGGGGGACCGCCCTCCCCCAAATTATACTTTTAATTATTACATATAGGTGGGAAACTGAAGTAGGTACCCGGAAAGTATTGTTAGTTGACACCTACACACCACACACCACGAACAAAAGCTCTCCTCGCCTGCGTGAGTCGCCCACACTCAGCTTCACCTCCATTCTGCTCCTCCCGAGCTCAGTCCCGCCCCTCCAAGCCCCGCCCCGCACACCCTGAAGGCCCCGCCCTTCGCGCCCCGCTTCCTGTTTTCGGACTTCCGGGATCACACTGTGGCTCCAGCCTTCGTCGGCTCAGCCCCGCCCTCGGGCCCCGCCCCCTCCCACGGCACGCCTCTGCCCACGTCACGTCCGGCACCCATATTGCCCTCCCCCTCCCTCTTGCTCCCGCCTTCGCTCGCTTCCGGTGGTCCCCGTTGCCGCTGCTGCCGTTG